GCCATGGATTGGTACAGCTGGGCTGCGAGTCACGCTTTTTCCTAGCGAGCTGTCACTCCTGTGCCAAAGCTGCTCGCTGGATTTTGGGTGATCAGGCTCGGGATGGCTGCAGCTCTTCCTGCCCGGGCTGCTCCCTGCTCACGTGTGGGCTGAGGCAGCGGTTTTTGAAGGAAAATGCACTAAAACAACAAAAATTACTTGCTCTTGACTAGAGGACACATCACTGATTTGTGCCATGTTCTTTTAGCCTTGAGATTAAAGAGTTAATTAATATTTGAAGATAATTTCTGAAACGACTCCATGCTGCTGGATGTTGGGGGCTTGGAGGAAGGGAATGGTTGGGGGATAGTTTGATTTTTACCCCTCCATTTTTTTCAGTTTTCTCCCTACTCCTCTTGCACTGGTGGTGATTAGATGGAGCAGCCTTGGCTGGGTGGATCTTCAGTTTGAGACATCCTTTTTTTTCCCTGCTCCATCAGCTTTAAATAATTGAATCTGAGTTTTAAGGAAATCTCAACATTTTCAGTTGTTTGCCTTTTCTTGGCAGGGGCAGTAAAAATAAGGCAAACAGTCGGAATCTAGTCGATGTTGGTTGTCACTGGAAGCTGATACGAAGCCAGTTTGATACTGAGCCAGTATGGAATGGTCGGGCACCTGCACTGCGTTTGGCCCCACGACACTGAAATGCTGAGCTTCAAATAAGCTGGAAACGGAGCTTTTTGAACTGGTTTTGGGAACACAGTGGGCGGAGGACTGGTGGCCTCCTGCCCTGCCATTGCTGACACCGATCCAGTCCCGCCGCCGACACGGCTCAGGAAGTGTCCCATTCGTTTAAAAAATGTGGGTTTTTTCACATGTGATTAGTGAAATTCCTGAAGCAATTTGGAAAAAGTGAATTTTGTAATAACAAAAATACACGTTCCTATGTACAGTAATTGCTTTGATATTTGCAAGTCTCTTACACATGGGATGGAAAAATACTTAATCTGTCAGGAAGAAGGCACGAGCGTGCCAGGCGCATGTGGAATTAGCTGCCAAAAAAAAGTTTTGGAATCTGGTTTACTCTCCAAAAATACCTAGATTTCAGACCAAAATTTTCTCTGGCTTAAATGGAACTGCAGCATCTGGAGAGGGACGTTATTCACTTCCCCAGGCCCAGGGTCTGCTCCCAAACACACTCGCATTAAGAAAACGCTCCGTGTTTTAAATTAGTAAAATTAAATGGTGTACGGCAAAAAAGCTTGTGAACCCTTGGGGGGGAAAAAACCCAAACGCCACCACAAAACCCAAAACTTGACTTCCCAAATCCTTCCCTAACGGGTACCTACGTGTTTCTGTGCAGGTCGGGAGATGCAGCGAGGGCTCGGTGTTCCCACCACGGACCGTCCCCGCGGTGAGCGGTTCTGTCGCTGCGTTTCAGACTTGACACCCGTGTTCTGCTAAAGGTACCTCGACCCCGTGCGTGACAGGTGATGGACAAATGAGTCGTGGCCACCGGGGGCAGAACAAGGCTCGTGGTAGCCG